CCTCCCCCCCTGCGGTATGCATAATGAACGCAGCCTAATGTCATTCAAAAAATAGAGTGACGTTTACTTAACTATCAAACCAAAAGGGAACTCGTGAATGCGTAATATAGTTAAATATAGACATATGTCTCCTGCGACACCCTGCCCATCTTATCAAACGGGATAGGAAAAATATATTAAAAGAAGAGGTAACCGCCTATTTKGTTTTGTTTAGGACCTTTTTAATAACGAGGAAGAATAACCTTCCTTCATAATAGCTAAAAGGAATTGTAAGGTGTGTTACRAAAACACTGAACAAGCAAGTTTTGAACGTCGTGTCATACTAAATTGCACTACAGCCAAAAAAGCTATTTTGAAGTGTGAATGKAATGGTAATAATTGTGAGCACAAAAATGACATGTATAATGTATATATTCATGAAAGCAGTAGAGTGTTGTCAATCATTTGAGAATTTGAGATGTTATTAATATTTTTGTACCTTTTTAGTAACATACAAAGTAAGGATTCAAATTTAAACCGGCCTGAACTATTAAGTGTCCCATTAGTCAAGGGCGGATCCAGCCAAAATTTGGGGGGGGGGGCTAATTGAGTTTAGGGGGGGAGGGGTTAATTGAGTTTCTTCCGTTAACACAACGAAAAGCAATATAAAAAAGCATCGGTTTTTTTCTGCTGAAGCGGGGGCTTCCCCCCCCCCCCCCCTTTGTCCCCCCCTGGATCCGCCCTTGATAGTACCATTACAATGCTCAAATATATTGTATTCCACCGAATTTTTTCCTTGCATTTTATTTGAAGCTTCAGCTTTACTTTCAACTGTTTCCAAAATTGTGTGTAGGAGCAAAGTTATATTTCATTTTATCAAAACATTTTATCTGATTAGCAATAATTAACATGAATTAGCACGAATTACCCAATCCAAAATGTATGTATGATTTTAACTTGGTTTTAAATTATCGATGGACCATTTATTAACCTTTAAAAACATGTACAGGATGATAACAAAGGTTATATATTTTTAAGTAACGTTTTCAAAAACTTTATGACCCTCTTTTGTAAAACTCCCAACCTTTGGTGACCGCCCCTGAAATGTTCTTTTGGTAAAAGCCATTTGTACCGATACAAACAGCTAGGCAAGGGTATGTTGTACAGTTCCACTTAGATAAAAGTTAAATAAGAAAGAAAGAAAACAAAAGCAAGGAAGGAAAGATAGAGGCCATATATGCTGGCACAACGAACAAATACGATAACGTGCCAGCTTTCAGGGCGGCAAATTAAAGCGTATGAGAAATCTCTTTTTTGTTCTTATATACTATCCAAGCAAAAAGTATTAGCGTGATGATAGTGTTTTAAATTTTTTTTCTCATAGTGACTAGTCAAAATACCAAAACTTCTGAATTTCAGCACTGCATGTATGCATAACAATGGTCAGCTTTAAACCATGCATACTTGAGACAAAAGTGGTCTAATAGAAACAAAAGCTAAACAATAAACAGAAGATTTACTAACTTATCATTGTTAATTAGTTTCTCGGAAAGTGAAAATCACTCTACCCTCTTGATCTATGAGTTGAAATCGTATATGGTCATATCATACTTTTTTCAGCGTTTTCCGGCACTTTTTGTGCTGCATACATTAAGTGAAATTTCAGCAGTCCGAATTAKAAATCAGAATGTAACACTTTAACATTAATAATTATCATTATACTTACCAGWRTTTTCTCCTCTTATGMCAAAAGSWAAMCWACAAAAAGCTARGGTAAGAAAAAATACACCACYCATCGTGATTCTCTTCTGTAMKATAAAATATGACCAAATGTCACGRMC